TTCAGGAAAGAAAATACTAAAGATATTCAACAAAGATGTTCAGTATTCACAAATGACTACCTTTTCCCAAGCAGATTACTTACCTAAATTGCTTGTTGAGTTTAAGACATAAGACATGTTGACTGAGAATCATCAGATTGCTGCCATAGAAGGAGCACAATGCTATCTGAGCACCCACAAGACAAGATGTGGGCCTGGGTGTGAATGCCCAAGTATAGGCCACAGGAAACAGACCACTTACCTTCCTCACCATGAAAAACTCCTCTTTTAAAAATAATTTGTGGCCAGGTGTGGTGGTTCATGCCTGTAATCTCAGCACTCTGGGAGGCTGAGGCAAGAGGATAGCTTGAGCCCGGGAGTTTCAGACCAGCCTGAGCAACATAGTGAGCCCTCGTGTCTACAAAAAGAAAAATCAGCCAGGCATGGTGGCATACGCCTGGAGTCTCAGCTACTTGAGATACTGCAGCAGAAGGATCACCTGAACCCAAGAGTTTGAGGCTGCAGTGAGTCATGATCATGCCCTGCACTCCAGGCTGGATGACAGAGTGAAACTCTGACTCAAAATAATAATAATAATAATAGTAATGATAATACTTATTATTATATTGTAAAATGCATGATTAAGTATAAATGTAATAGTGATGATATTTCCATAGCTTTTTAAAGGTTATTATTATAAAATCTAAATGCCATTTTGTTGAGTCACCAATTCCATGCTTCTCTTTCAACACTTCCCATCAGACCCCCATCCCAAGCCCACCTATGTGTTTTTTTTGAAGAAAGGATGACAGAGAGGTGAGCCCAAGCTGTCGGGTATCTTCCTCCGTGATTTTCTCCCTGCGCCTTTCCACATGGAGACATTATGAGAGTCAAAGTGCACAAATCATTGTGAGCTCATTATGGATCCCCTGCAAAGTTCTGCTGGCCAGAAAGTTAGGAAATCAAGGCTAGTGATGCAGCTGATTCTATTAATTACTAAAAAGAGAAGAGGAATGAAAGAGGTCCAACATCATGGCCATGGGCATACAGAAATTATCTGCAAAATTACACAATGTCTTAAGCAATCAACTCTAAAATGAAACACTGTGCATTGCTTCTCTTCCTCTCTCATTTCATAAATAGCATTTTGCTGCTGTCTAGTTCCCAACTTGATCATTAACCTTCAAACTAATACATATTTTGTTGAATTTATTAAAATCATTGTACTTGACACGATGTGGCTAATGAACTAGTTGATGCAGAATCCTATGGAACTTTCGTGCCACCTACACGCACCCACACATATTTGTGTGTATTAATACATATATATGTGTTTATATATATGTGTGTGTGTTTATATATATATATATATATATATTGCAATTTATTATTTTATGATGACTTTGAACTTAAAGAATTTTTTAGCTCAAGGCATTTTTGGCCTAAACAGTTTACTTTTATGGCAAAACAGGTGTTGAAAAGTTAAGTGACTTTCTCCAGGTTTTCACTTTGACCTTGATTAAAGTTATTTTGCCTTCTGTAAATTTGGATCTAGAAGTCTATTCTTTCATTAGAAAGATAGACCCCGGCTCGGTGGCTCAGTCTGTAATCCCATGCTTTGGCATGCTGAGGTAAATGGATTGCCTGAGCCCGCGGGTTCGAGACCTGCCTGGGCAACTTGGCGAGACCTCGTCTCTACAATAAATCAAGAAATTAGTTGGGCATGGTAGCGTGCACCTGTCGTTCCAGCTACTTGGAAGGCTGAGGCGGAAGGATCGCCGGAGCCCAGAGGTTGAGGCTGCGGTGGCCGGGAGCAGCCACTGCACTCCAGTCTGGGTGACAAAGTAAGACTCCAACTCAAAAAAATAAATAAATAAAAATAGGAGAAGAAATATTTACCAATGGCTTTCCAGTAGAATTCTACAAAACATGAAAGGAGGAACTGATATCAATCCTTTTGAAAGTATTCCAGGCGATTGAGAAAGATGGAACTCTCCCCAAATCTGTTTACAATGCTAACATCACATTGATACCCAAACCAGGTAAAGATCCAACAAAAAAAGAGAACTACAGGCCAATATACTTGATGAACATAGATGCTAAAATTCTCAACAAGATCCTAGCAAACCAGATTCAACAACACATCTCAAAAATCATCCACCATGACCAAGTAGGCTTTATCCTTGGGATGCAGGGCTAGTTCAACATTCGTAAGACCATAAACGTAATTAAATACACCAACAAATGAAAAAACAAAAACCACATGATTATATCATTAGATGTGGAAAAAGCTTTTGACAAAATTCAGCACCCTTTCTTGATAAAAACCCTCGAACATCTAGGCATAGATGAAACAAACATACCTTAAAATTGTAAGAGTCATCTAAAAGAAACCCACAGTCAGCATACAGCTAAACAGACAGAAATTGGAACCATTTCCCCTGAAAACTGAAACAAGACAAGGATGCCCACTCTCAACCCTCCTGTTCAACATAGCATTGGAAGTCCTAGCTAGAGCAATCAGACAAGAAAAGAGAATTAGGGAATTCAAATAGGAAATAGTAAGTTACGTTATAAGTCTCCTTGCACTGATAAAAGACTTTGGGAAAGTCTTAGGGTATAAAATAAATGTACAATAGTCAGTCGCATTCCTATACACCAATAATAAATAAACAGAAACTCAAATAAAAAGCACAATCCCACTCAGAATAGCCACAAAAAAATTAAATACCTTGGTATCTTCTTAACCAGATAAATCAAAGACAAAATACTGGTCAAAGACATCAAAGATGACACAAGTAAATGGAAAAATATTCCATTCTCATGGACTGGAAGAATCTACATGGTTAAAATGTCTATCCTAACCAAGGCAATCTATAGATTTAACACAATACCCATTAAATTACCAGCAATATTCAATATTCTTCTCAGACCTGGAAACAACAATTTAGTAATTCATATGGAACCATGAACTACCATGAATAGCCAAAACAATCCTCAGCAAACAAAAAAAACAAAAAAAAACCAAGTTGGAGGCATCATGCTCCTGGATTTTAAGCTTTATTGTAAAGCTACAATAATCAAAACAGCCCGGCATTGGTACAAGGACAGGCATATAGACCAATGGAACAGGATAAAGATTTCAGAACCAAAACCTTAACTTCTCAACCAACTCATCTTTGGCAAAGCCTCCACCATCAACCACTGGGGAGAGGAGAAACTATTCAGTAAATGGTGCTGGGAAAACTGGCTGTCCACATGCAGAAGATTAAAACAAGACACATTCCTATCACAATACACAAAAATCAACTCTAAATGGATCAAAGATCTCAATGTAAAACCTCAAACTATAAGAACCTTAGAAATGCAGGAGATACACTTATGAAAATTAGAACTGGCAATCAATTCCTGATCAAAACCCCAAGTGCTCATGCCATAAGAGATAAGAAAAACAAATGGTACTTCATCAAACTGACAAGCTACTACAAAGCCTAAGAAATCATTTCAAAAGAGCAGGGAGACAGCCCACAGACTGGGAAAAATAGTTGCCAACTGCAAGTTTGACAATCAAGGATCTACAAGGAACTCAAAATGCTGAAAAGAAAACAGACAGCCCCATTACAAAGTGGGCAGAAGATAAGAATAGATACTTCTCAAAAGACGAAATATGAGCAGCCAACAGATACATGAAAAAATACTCAACCTCACTAGTCATCAAAGAAATGCAAATTTAAACTACACTGAGATACCAACTAACTCCAGTCAGGATGACCATCATCAATAACTCAAAAACAACAGATGCTGGAGAGGATGTGGCGAAAAGGCAACAGTTGGACACTGTTGGAGGGAGTGTAAACTTGTACAGCCTCTGTGGAAAACAGTGTGGCGATTCCTAAAAGATCTAAAAACCAACCTTCCTACCACCCCACAGTCCCCCTACTGGGAATATACCTGTAAGAACTCAAATCAATCTATTAAAAAGATAACTGCACACGTATGTTTGTTGCAGCATTGTTTACAGTATCAAGAATATGGAAGCAACCATGCTGCCCATCAAGAGAGGACTAGATTTTTTTTTTAAGTGGTACTTATACACAATGGAATATTATGCAGCTATAAAGAAGGGCAAAATCGTGAACTTCACAGCAACCTGGAGGGACTTAGAGTCTATAATACTGAGTGATGTATCACAGAAACAAAGAACTGAGTATCACATGTTCTCACTCATAAGCAGATTTGAACAATTATTGTAATACTATAAGAAAATGGCAGTAGCAGGAAACTGCCAGGGCCAGGAAAGGGGGGAGGCAGGATTAACAGTAGTGGGAGTCTGCTGGGATGGGGGGGACACATCAACAAGGGTACCTGCATAATGAACATTTGTGTACCTAACCCTGAATTGTACCCCACATCTTTAAAATAAAAAAAATAAAAGAGAAAAAAAAAAGAATATATTTACCATCAGTGAATGTTCTTCTATCTAAGATGTAATGTGGTTAAGTTCAGTGCTGGGACGTCCTAGATGATAACTCAGTGATCTTATCTGTCATTAGATTCCTTTTAAAATGCGTCCCAGTTGATGCCATCAAATATCAATGTAGAAAAATTACAGTTATAAGAGAGTAGAATAGGCACATGGGAATTGGTGGGGGAATTTCAAGAGGAAGAAATTAGGTGTGGGGAGGTAACATGACAACTCAGTGACAGCCAGGGAACCTCAGTGCTCAGAGCACATCTATTTTGTTCTAGAGCTCTCTGTATGATAGCATGCTACTTCAGTATAGTAAGAGGTTATTCTATTAAAAGAAACTAGAAAATCTTGAAAATGGGATAAATGGAACAGCTTTTATTGTTTGGTTGGTAGTACAATTTTTAAAATACTAATCTATTTTTTAAAGATATATTATTAACAGACATACATTAATAGTAGAGAGGACTGTCATAATTTTGAAATGTTTAATCTATTAAAATCAGTAATTCCACTTTTGAATCCTCTTTCTTTAATGTCCTATTTATTTTAGCTGAATGTGGAGCAAGAGTCAAAGGAAATGAAGGAACATTACTGTCTCCAAATTTTCCATCAAATTATGATAATAACCATGAGTGTATCTATAAAATAGAAACAGAAGCTGGCAAGGGAATTCATCTCAGAGCAAGAAACTTTCAGCTGTTTGAAGGAGATACTCTAAAGGTAAAAATAATATTCTCTAACATGATAACTCCATCTTTTCTTCCCCAGGAATGTATCATCTATCTGTTTATCATCCTCCCCCCATTTATCTATCTACTTATCTCTCTATCTATCTGCCTATCTTCTTTATAACTACATTTGTCTATTCATCTATCTTTCTACATATAGATATATGCACATATTGATATATCTTTATATATAACTTATTCCTAATTACGTATGCAATACGTTTGAAAAAGTACACTGTAGCATCTCTTTAAAGAGTATATGTGAACTTTGAAATAATTTTTCACATTTATTACTCGAACACGTATTACTCGTGTATCTTGCGCAACTTATATAATGTTTTTATCCGTAGCTTCCGTGTGTGTATGAATATGCAATGATATCTTTCTTTTGGGTCTGCTTTGAGGATTAAATACTGTGATACATGTGGATGTTTCTAGCAATGGGCCTAGCACCTAATAGTACTTGTTACAATTTGTTGGGCCCCCAAACCGGCCCTTTCTATAGTTTCTCTCGATTTTTAAAAGTGGTCACAACATTGAAAGCTGGAAGGATTTGGATGTGATCATGGGACAAGTCCAGCCACTGTCATTAGAACACAAACAGAACTCAGGTGGAGAAGTCACACCAGGACAAAGAAGAATCTCACTAAAGATTGCAGGGCACTCAGGTCTTGCCTCGATTTATAAAATCCCAACTCAATTGGACATGTTCCTTTATTCCTAAGGCTTCTGATATGGTTCCTGCCTCCCTTGTATTTCAAGAATTTGAGGACCTTCCACAGTCTAGGGACTGGGGAGTAGGTGACCTGTACTCAGGGCATAGAAAGACAAAAGCTTTGCACAGCAAAAGCAAATGCTATAAATCATCTGTCCAATTCCTTGCTCATTTCAGAGAGAAGGCAAGCAGTTTGCCTGGTCACAGGACTGGTTTGTGGCAAGAGAGGGTCACATGGCTTTTCTTACTCTCTTTCTAAAGAGCTAGGGTTTTTAAACTATATTTACATATAGACACACATAATGATACATCCAGATTCAGTGGAGTCAGCTCCCTTTAGGCATTGAACATTAAGCGAATGCACAAAGAGCCAGCTACAAGGGAAGTTGGTGACTCCCTGTTGTTCACCCCTTTGCACGATGGCTGAACCACTTGACCCCATGGAAGCTATGTGCTCAGGTCAGGAGAAGTTTCTAGATTAAGTGCCTTACTGCCTCCCAAAGCCACCTTGGACTGTGTTTCAATGTCATAATTTAGTAAAGTGCCTTTATTCTAGCAGTTCTTTCGTGTTAATGGTCCCTTGAAAGCTCATGCTGGCAGTACAAAGGACTGTAATTAAGAAGTGGTTTTCAGGCAGGAAACTAGCACACTCTCACTAATCTAAAGAAAAATTAGTTATGTCGTAAGTAAGCATTTTCTGAATTTCTTGATAACCTCAAATTTAGAAGTCAGCAAGTCTTTAAGGCAAACTTTTAAATAACTCTTAACTATACTTTGGTGCAGATGAGTAATTAGAGATATTTCATAAAATATACATGAACAAATATTATTAGAATTAAAGGAAGAAAATCATGTTCATTTGTGATTGTATACCATTTAAATTTGTTGATCATAATAAAATTTTTAAATCTTGCTTACTACACTTAATTGCTGAGAAACTGTCAATCATGTAAAATACCTGAATGTTTTGCAGGCGTATATTTTGTTGAATATGCTAATAAATACTGTTGAAAATGTTACAAGTGAAATTATCTTAACTTTTTTTAGCACAATGTTTGCATTGCTTCTTCACACATACTATATCTCAAAAATAAATACCAAAATTTTATATATACACCCCCTTACGTACATAAGTAAGATTTTTTTTGCTTCTTGTGGAAAAAATCATGTAAAAGATATTTAACTGTCAGGAAAATGTTGTGAGAGGACAATGTAACGGAAAGAACAATTCATTTTGGAAATAAAGCCCTAGAGAATAGTTTTTGTAAAACTGGAAAAGAGATCCCCATAACTTTCAACTTTGTCACTCTAAGATGCTGTGTGACTTTTTAAAATCTGTGATCATTTGCTAATTTGACTACATCCCTAAGAGCATATGACATTGACTAAATATCACACTCTAAGGAGGGTTTCTAGTGCAAATACTTACAGTCTTGTATCAAATAGATGACTCTGGAGGGTTTTTTATAATAGCTGAAAGAAACCCTTTGAGTCTAGCTCCTTAGAGATAAGGAAGTGTAGCTAGGAGATAGTGTGCAAAATGAACATAGCTCATTGCTCATCCAGTTGGAATAAAAAATCACATCTTCTGATTTCCATTATAATCTGGGCTTTTCTTCATGATCAGTGCACAACTTGAACCCAGACTTTTAACTTTAGAGAGCTGAATAACACTCCATGTTGATCAAGTTACATGCTCACTCTGAGATATCTTGTTGAGCACAGTGCTAACTGCTGGTAACATGGATGAAGAAGGCAGAATTCGTGTTCTCAAGAATTTGTGACTCAGTGTTGGAGTTATTCATTCTTGCTGGTTTGAGCCATAAGGCTACTGGCAGGCAAGGTGCTGGTCATATGATTTGCCAAATACCCATGGAGGGCCCAATTAAGTGTTCATGAGACAACCAAGATCCAGTGGCACTGGCCAGCCGACAGTGTGTCGGGACAGAGCAGGGTCCCACTCAAGAGTTTGGTTATTTCATCTCCCCACCCCCATCTTCATGGGGTTCTATAAGTTACAGACAATTACATGGCATATAGAGTAAACTAAGACCTTCCTGGATAGTGTGGGACAGGAGATACCTGGTCATTTTCTCTTTGTGTCATTTTCCTCCAGATTTAAAACTTTTTACCATCTGGTTATGAGACCTTTGACTTTGTCTAATGACACCACATAGTAAACCAAACAATGAGTTTTAAATAATAACCTGTGAAATTAGCCTTTTAGTGAGGAAATTAGAAGATCTCTGATTCTTCTAAAATGTCACTGCTTTGTATTAGATGAGTGTCATGGCATTCACAGAAAGGGCACAAGTCCTAAAACAGTTTGACCCAATCCGCATTGAGGATATGAGATCAGCACCCGTCCAGTCCCCTCGACCATGTGACCTAGCTCGCTGACCGTTGGGAACACATCCCCGAGACCTCCCCCTCCCTAATGCCTAAAGTCAAATCAAAACCAAGCCCTGTCTCCTTTGCCTTCCATGTGCTTAGTATATCCACACTAGCATGTGCATATGCAATTATAATAAAATAATTATCTGCAAAAGTAATTTTTAAATTCATCTTCTCCTTTTAAGAGTATGTATGGGTGTGTGTGTGTGTGTGTGTGTGTGTGTGTAAGTCTCTTGGTGTATATGTTGATTGAAAGAGAAACAATAAGAGAAAAGTAAGAATCTGTATGAAGAAGAAAAGCAGTGAGTGAAATAAATTCTGGAAGAAGCTACTGCGGACTCTATTTACTTTTATTCAGTTAAGGTGCTTTTTTTAATCAAGAAAAACTGGGTGTTCTTTTTTTTAAATTTATTTTATTATAGATATGCGGGTACAAGTCAGGATTAGCTATACAAGCAGGCAGCATGCAGGTGAAGTTTGTACCTCCAACTGGCCCTCACTTCCCCTGCTTTAGGATCAGGCACGCTTTGTGATGCTATGTGCTTCCCTCTCCCACCCTCCCCTGGCAGTGTCCATTGATTGCCTGTCCTTCCCTTGCGTTAATGTGATTAATGTTCAGGTCCCACTTATGATTTAGAATATTCAGTAGTCATTTCTTTGAAAAGAGAAGATAGACAAATGAGGCCTCATCAAACTGAAAAGCTTTTGCACAGCAAAATAAACCACAATTAGAGTGGGAAGACAGCACACAGAATGAGAAAACAATATTTACTAATTATGTTTCTAACAAAGACCTGACATCCAGGATCTGCAAGGAACTCAAAAGAGCTGAAAAGAAAAGAAACAGAAAAAGAAAAAAAATCCTATTAAAATGTGGGCAAAGGCTATGGATATTCTTCAATATAATGTAATAAATGTTTGTTCTTCTAAAAAATCCTTATCAACAAGGCAGACCTTGCTGGTGAGGGAGGCAAACGGATTAATAGTATTCTACCTTTATCAGGATGTGAGGGGTCCTACAGCACTACGTTCTTCTAGAATGTCAGTGCTTTGTGTTAGATGAGTGTCATGGCATTAGCAGAAAGGGCACAAGTCCTAAAACAGTTGGACCCAATCCCCATTAAGAATCTGTGATCAGCACCCGTCCAGTCCCCTCGACCATGTGACCTAGCTCACTGACAGTTGGGAACGCATTCCCGAGAACTTCCCCTCCCTAACCCCTAACATCAGATCAAAACCAAGCCCTGTCTCTTTTGCCTTCCATGTGCTTAGTATATCCACTCACATTTTACACACACTTGGGAGGATAATGTCAAATACAAAGTACTTTAGAGCAAGACCGCACCTCACTCTGTTATTATTGTCTGATGGGATTCTTTTATTACAACAAATTCAAGACTAAAGTCACTTCAGGCTTAAAGACTATAAAATATATTCAGATTTAAGCACATTGTGTTGTTTTATAATGCATTCAGATAGACCAGAACAGAGGGAAATGAGATGTTCTATGACATAATTGATAGTTCAGAGAAGATATTCAAGACCTAAAATATTATAAGCCATTTTCCCCTTTATAACTGGAATATGAGGAAGAGAATAAAAAACTAGATGATAAAACCTGTAAACGTAAAGAAATATTTATTTAAATTTAAATAAACACAGAAAAAGCTCTTAAAGTAATCAATGTAAAATGATCTGAACAAGAATGGAATCTTTTGTCTCTAGTGTTAATGATAAAGATAAAACCTAAAGGAAGAAAGATTATTTTACATGAAGCCTACCATTTATCTTTTTATAAACTGTATAACTTTTCCAAGTATTGTATAAAACCACATCTTTGAAGATTTGAATTTTTTGTTGTAATTGCTAACATAAGAATACAATTAAGGCCAAGTGTGGTGGCTCATACCTGTAATCCCAGCACTTGAGAGGTTGAGGCAAGAGGATCATTTGAGCCTGGGAGTTCGAGACCAGCTTGGGCAACATAGTACGACTCTTTCTCAAAAAATTAAATTAAATTAAATTAAATTAAGGCATTGGGAACTCATACTGTGAATTTTCATTAGGTATATGATGGAAAAGACAGTTCCTCGCGTCCACTGGGAGCTTTCACCAAAAATGAGCTGATGGGTCTTATCCTAAACAGCACGTCCAATCACCTGTGGCTGGAATTCAACACCAATGGCTCTGACACTGACCAGGGTTTTCAACTCACCTATACTAGTAAGTAACATGTGATTTAATTATATTCTTTTATTTACTTATTTATTTATTTAGTTAGTTAGTTAGTTAGTTGGTTAGTTAGTTAGGAGTCATCTGATACTTAGCTTACGATAAGTTTTAAATTTTTTTTTTCTGGTTACCTAATGTGCTTTGGGTTGCAGTTTAATTCTGTACACTGTTCACTGGACAGTGTATTCAGATACATTACCAGAAGCAGTCATTTACAATTTATCTAAGTAGAAATATTCATATTTTAATAATAAAATTGATGAAAAGGAAAGGAAACCTCTCAAAGCATTCAAGATCGACTGAGTTTAAAAATATTGATTATGGTATGGTATACATTGATAAAAATTCATGTACTTACATATGAAGCATTTAGGATGAACATTTGATATAATTGGAGGCAATAGACTGAATAACTGAGATGGATATAAATATACAACTTTGCATATGAAGTACAGATGCACACACACATATAACAATTTAGTCAATGCCATATGCTCTAAGGGATGTAGCCACATTAGTTGATGATCACAGATTAGAAAGTAGTATGTAATAAATTATTTTCTTTTTGTCACTAACTTCTGAAATGAAAGAACTAGCAGAAGTACTTTGAATACTTGCCCAGGATAACAGTTTTATAAGTTGACAGAACAAGAATTTGACCTGTATCTCACAGTGTTAAGCAGTTTTATAGTGTTCCCTGTTGATATAAATCCATATGGAATCTGTTTTTTAAAAAGATGTAAATAAAGAAGACACAAGAGAAAGGCAATGAAGAAGAAGCTGTATTTCTTTTTTTTTTTTTTTTTGAGTTGGAATCTCACTCAGTCGCCCAGACTGGAGTGCAGTGGCCGCTCCCGGCCACTGCAGCCTTGACCTGCTGGGCTCCGGCGATCCTTCCGCCTCAGTCTTCCAGTAGCTGGAACTACAGGTGCGCGCTACCACGCCCGGCTAATTTTTTGATTTATTGTAGAGATGAGGCGGGTCTCGAACCCGTGGGCTCAGACAATCCACTCACCTCAGCCTCCCAAAGCGCTGGGATTACAGGCTGAGGCACCGAGCTCGGTTGAGAAGCTGTATTTCAAAAAGAGGAGTTTGCAATATGATAAGGGCCATCTTCAACATTTTTGGTTCCAAACAAAGTAAAAATAAAATAACTGTTTGCTGTGGATAACCAATTACAATTAATTAATTGATTAACTCAAATGCTTAAAGTCTATAAAACCATCAAATCCTCCATTAATCTGATGGTTAAACAACTCTATGATACTGAACACCATTATGTAAGAAAATTAAATGTTTGGATTTGTGAGCACGAATGTATGTCAGTGACTGACACCTTTATGTGACAAAACACATATGAAGGCTCATCTCATAGAAAAGTTAATAATCATCTCATAGACACAAAGCTAATCCAGATCTCAAATTCCTCTCAGATGGAAAAATCACAATTGAAGAATTGTGACCTTTTGCCCAAGAATAGAACTAGCATCACTGACATCATGAGAAAACCAATTTTTCACTTTCATGATAATAACATTGAAAAGACTGAGTAAACAGAAAGCATATTAATTAATTTTCATGCATGATAATTTAGCAACAATTGATATTATGAGATCAATTCATAATTATTTTGCTAGAATTTTTATTTTCCAGTATTCCACTCTCAGAAAAGTTTCAAAGAGCTCCTGTGAAATCCTTTTGCTTGCAGATGAATTATACACAATTGTAATTTGTGTTTACACTTCATGGTCTCCAATAAAATGTTCAACATTTTTGTTTTTCTTACATAGTGGGTCAGTCTCCACTTCTTTGATCCTCCACTAGTCTTAAAGGATGGATACTTGAGAAGGAAAACTGAAAAACCGCTTTAGTCAACTCTTGAGTTTAGCAGAATCAAGGGGACATTCATATGTGCACCTAGGCTGTCCCCCAATTCTCCTGCCATTAAACTCATTTTTTTTTTCCATATCTTACAAACCATGCCCCTACCATGGCTTTCTCAGCAAAGAGCAGGAAAACGCTGGCCTGAATGCCTCCCCGTATCCTGTTTGAATCTCTGAGAACTCACCCTCAACCCTGCTCCAAGTTGGAAATTCACTAAACTCACTTTTCCTCTCTCCTGGCTGCTTCCTAGAAAACACATCACACACAGCTAGCATTTTATTTCTCATTACTTTTTTAACCCTGGTAACCACTTCCTGTTTTCGTTCCAACTATTTCCAGTTGGTATTATCATCGATATGTAAACATTTGGTCCTCTTTTCTCATGGCTGGGCAAAAGGTATACAGAAGAAAAAATTGTGCATATTGGAACTTCAAGTAACTGGATTTGAATCAAGGCATGGATACTAAACTGTTCCCAGAATTCTGATGTCTCCTTTGACTTCCAGGTAGCAGTTGGGAAGGTCCATGTGCTCTAGAACCTTGTGCCTGGACACAGTGTAGAGGCTGTAGGCTTGTTCATTTATTTCATCCACTCTTCCTCATCAAGGAAACTGGCCTCAGTGGGTGAGGCTTCGTCTCCACTGGGCCCCAATTGAATGTCATAGCTCCTTGTTGGGCCTTGATATCCAGCATGGCTATAGGACATTTTGCTGTCACTCCCACTTGAATGAGTCGCTTTGAAAAAGCTTAAATTTATTCATCTTGTAAGGTCACTTAATTATATTCTTAATTATATTCAATTATAAGAATGTGTTTTATTGCATGGTAGCACAATCATTCTAAACTTAGGAGAAAGAAATATTGGAGATGATTGGAATTTAATTTTAAATATAATCAATCTGATAGGAGTAACTTTCTTTCTCTGCCAGTTTCACCCCTTTGTCTCTACCTACAAAATCAAACACAGACACTCCTCAGGTCCAAGTCCTGCTTGCAAGATTGTCTTAGAGCTGGAACACACTGCCAGATGGAAGAAGATATTTGTAATAGAGAATTGATGGTGTGTAATGGCTATGGTATCAGAATAGTGCAAACTTCACACTAAATTCTTATGTTTAGACATAAGCAATTAAGTTTAAGAAATCCCAAGCTCCCAAAATATGATCAAATACCCGAATCAAGTATTCATTCCTAGAAAATGTTTTGGAAATAATGAATGATTATAAAATACCTTAGCAAATTATTAAGGCTTAAGTGTATAAAGACACTTTCAACTATTTTCAAAAGATTCTTGTAATTGTCTCTTACTAGCTAATTGCATCACTTAAGGAAACATTAGTGTCTACATATTTCAGATCCATAGTTAATATAATATATGCATGGATTAGAAAATGTCAACAGAGAGTAAATATACAGCTTGATAAATACCCTAAAGTTTTTTTGAAATGGGTACAAGTGACATTTGTATATCTTTTAATATTTACAGATAATAATCTCATGTATCTTGTAACTTTACAACCCTGTCAATTTTGAGTCTTGGTAAATAGCTCCTTTTACTCTTCTTCATAATTTAGAAACTGAGTCTCACAAGGAATCTCACAAGCCTTGAACTGTTGACAAGCTTACTTTCAAATATCTTAGGTGATCCTGCTTCAGTAAGCACCACATCTCTTGACTGATCTTGATAAACACAAAGACAACAATTAGAATGGAAAGCCAGACTATCTTTGGACCAAACTATATGTTAATTAATAGGCATTTAGTAAGCAATGACTGTTTTTTGAGTGATAGGTTAGATCAAAATAAAACTTTAAAAGTCTTTAACTTCCATCACAAAACATTGCTGTTTGGTACAGATTTGTCTATCTTCACACTAGATAATACTCTGATAAATAATCATGTCAAATGGAGTCATAAGCCATAAGCTCTGTAATATCAGGGACAATGAGTGTCTGATTTTTGTCCTCTGCTTCTCAGACAGGTGTGTAGCCTGTGATATAAGAAGCTTAAATTGGGTCATTGTTATTCAAATTATATTCTTTCAGGCACTGAAAATCCACAGAATTGTCAGGCAGGAGTAAAACTTTCTCCTTATTTAACATACGAGTTTTGTTTTGCTTTCTACCAATAATTGTAAGCCTCCTATAATATCTGGAAGCATTATATTTATAATTAATCACTTTATTATCTAAATATTTCAACAAATATTTTTACAGCACAAGAGTTCTGGAAATTAAAAACAAAATCCTATATTGACTTTAGACTTCTTCTTTTTTTTTTTTTTTTTTTTTGAGTTGGAGTTTTACTCCATCGCTCAGACTGGAGTGCAGTGGCCACTCCCGGCCACCGCAGCCTCCACCTGCTGGGCTCCAGCAATCCTTTCGCCTCAGCCTTCCAAGTAGCTGGAACAATACATACGTGCTACCACGCCCAGTTAATTTTTTAAAAAATGTATTGTAGAGATGAGGTCTCGCCAAGTTGCCCAGGCGGGTCTCAAACCCACGGGCTCAGGCAATCCACTCACCTCAGCCTCCCAAAGTACTGCGATTACAGGCTAGGCACCGAGCCCGGCTTAGACTTCTTTTAAAAATAAGTCGCACTTTTTAGAGTTTCACGAGAATTGTTCCCAGAATAGTCATTCTTAAGAAACTGTTTACCACAGAACCTATAGGACAATTTGGAAGTGAGACAGGCTTTTCTGCTTTTAAAAATACTCTTAGTCTTTAAACAGCAAGAAACAAACAAACCTGCCACAATTCAACAACAGCAACAATAACAAAAATCTCTTGCCACCTGGAGAAGTAGTTAGAGAAAGTAGTTTAGACAATCATCTCTGGACTGTCTTGCTGTATCCTTCTACTGATTGAGCATTGAACACAAATATATCACCTATGGACTAAATGTTTAATGCTGTATTGAAACATAGAAGACAAAAATCATGATTTCTGTTCACAAATAAATGACTTAGGAGAGTCCCATTTAGCACTTGTGAGACATTGGTCAATATGAGTATGACTATCAATTCTATGCAGAAATGAAATATTAATTATATTCTCAACCATGAGATGAATCCATAGGTGTTCAAGGAGTCAGTTCATGGCCCTGAT